GCGGTGATCAAAACAGTAACACTGGCTGGATCAAGTGCCCGGTCATCACAGAATTGCCGTATACCCTTTATTCCAATTTATTTTCATCTTGAGGATAGTTCGTGCAGGGTCCAGTCCATAATCCACTGGCTCTAAAGCAGGGTGGCACACGGCAGAGGGGGCAGCCGCTCGTGGCAGCGGAAGACAGAACAGCAACAATAGAGCCTTTCCAACTTCGAGCAGACTTTTTTTAACAGCTCATGGGCCACAGTCTTTCCAAAATCCTTGACTTCCACAAAACAGGCCCAGGAGGTTTTGGTTCCAGGAGGTGGAGAGCAAGGCCCTGCTCAGCTGACGCCGCCTCCCGCTTGCCCTGCTTTTGTCTGGAGAGGAGTTTGAACGGCTGGTCTCACACAGGAAGAGCCCATCGCGAAGAGAATGTTACGATCTACCGCCAAAGTCAGCCAGAGAATCTCCACGACTGCGTCCTGCTCGGAAGGGCAGGGAACGTCAGGGTAATAGCTGCAGGTTCGATGGGCAGCTGTGGGGACGAGGACTTCCGATTCTATGACTTGCCTTGGGGAGGCGGACTCCGGTGTCTACAGTTTGCTTCAGGGAGAAGGACAGATGAGAAACGGGAGGCCAGGGAAAAGGTCAGACAGAACTGACCTCTGAGGTTGCTTGTGAGGCCTCTGCTCTCCTGTAGCTCAAGGCACCCAACACGCCAAAGCACCATATTCCAGGTTGTCGTGTTCTGGGCGCTGACACAGCCCAACAGTTTATTTTTTTTAAAGGTGGCAAAGTTTCACATCTGTTAAAGGTAAGAACAAAAGAAGGGAGAGGAAGAGCAGACTCTGCTGCGTGAGGCTGGGCCGAGCAGAAAGCGGGGGATAAAAATACACCCCACATGCAGGGTGGGCCACTGTGAAGAGGTACGACAGCTGTGCTCTAACGGTTTAAATGTACAGTGTCAAGGGACAGTAACGGGGCTGGGGATTTAGCTCAGCGGCACAGCACCTGCCTGGCAAACGCAAGGTCATCAGTTGGATTCCCAGTACCAGAAAAAAACCAGAAAAACAAAAACAAACAAACAAACAGACAAAAGGGATAGTAAGGACACCAAAGAGCACACTAGGAGGTTTTCTGTTTTGTTTTGTTTTGTTTTTGTGGGGGGGTTAGTGCTAGGGATTGAATGCAGGCCCTGCTCATGCTACTTCCTCAGCCAAAACTAGGACCTCTTTGAGAGTGAAAGGCAATTATAGCTACGAGCCTGGCTGCCCCCAAGAAGTAAGGTTGTTGTCAGGCGTGGTGGAGCTCACCTGTAATCCCAGCCCTCAGGAGGCTGAGGGAGGAGGGTCACCACGAGTTTTGAGGCCAGTCTGGGCACCACAGTGAGATCCTGTACTAAAAAAAAAAAAAATGAGTGAATGCCAGCTGATTACAGTGCCCGAAGGGTTAAGTGGGAAATGGCCCAAGAAAACCACAGCATGATCTCTGCAGAGTCCTAATGTGATTCTCCATGTACCTTCCTACCTTCCTTCAGTCCTTACTGTCAACGGTACGCCAGGCACTTGGCAAGACACATGTGTCACCTGCCTCACGGAGCATGCAGTGTAGCTGGGAAGTCAGCCAGCAATCACAACTGTCTCTAGGATGTGCCATGACAAAGGTACCATAGAGCAGGTCTCTCATCTTTGGCACCAGTGGCTTCTTGGGTCTAATAGCTCTCTGCTGGGGAGGCTTTCCCACACACTGTGGGCGGCTGAGTAGTAGTCCAGGCCTCTGACCACTAGATGCTAGTAGCGCTCACCCTGACCTAATCCCAAGTATCTCCAGACATCACCAAATGTCCCTTGGGAGAGGGGAGGGACTAAAATTCTGGCCTCCCTCTCCCCCCTAGCAGGGAGAATCACTGACACTGTCCCAGAACACAGGTCTCAAAAGGATGGGGAAAGAGGCCATCCAGAAACACTTTGCACAAGAGGAAATAACACGCTTCTTGGTGGTGGCAAGAATTTAACTTACCCCCAAACACAATTTTCTAAAAACACCTTTTCATTTTGAAAACAGAACATGATAAGATGCAAGTTGGTTTTGTTTTGTTTTGTTGAGACAGGGTCTGGCTTGGAACTCGAGATCCTCCCTTGGGCAGGTGGCTGGGACCACAAGCATGCACCACCATGCCAACTTCATCCAACACGTAAATATATTTATTTATTTAGCACCTACTATATGCTAGCAGTGTTCTAGGTACTGAGGACATAGCAATGAGAAGGCAGAGTCCCTGCTGTGATGTTTATCTTATGGAGGAAGAAAATAAGGAAAACAGACAGTCTTGGGCAGTGACGAACAGCAAGAACGTAAGAGTGTGCTGTTAGGAGTAAAGGCCTTGGGCAGCCCAGTCTAGGTAGAGCGAGTGGGTCACATGATCGCTAATGCTAGGACAAGCCGGGGGTGGAAAGCTCCAGGCTGGGAGAGATCCCGCCCACACGACAAGAAAGGCAAGGACTTTGAGGCAGAAACACAGTGGCAGTTCCATGGACAGAAAGACCAGGGGAAGGCCTGATCATGTGTGCCAGGAGAACGTTTTGATTTTATTCTAATTGCAGCTGGAAGCTTGATTTATATTGTTTGCCTTTTTTGCAGTGCTGGGGATGGAACCCAGGACCTCCTGCCTGGTAGGCATGAGCTCTACCGATGAGCTGCATCCCTAGCATGACAGGATTTAAAGGACCGTGCTGATTTCTCTGAGAGAAGATGAAACCTACT